ACACTATCTACTGTTTTTATTATCACATCTCCCAGGTCTACGAAACTATACGGCTCCGTTGGTCACTTTTTGCCGACATTCCTTATTTTTGCCAAAATTTAGGGATGCGGAGTCCCAAAAAGGACTCCGAATTTGAATGTCACAAAAATACTACTTCTTCCTAGTTTTTGGTATCCAGGAGCATTAATAATATAAAATAGCTTATGGATTAATTTTGGTAAAAAAAGTTAAGACTTTTAGGTTAGAGTCAATCTCTTTTTGAACTCGGATTCCTTAGGTATAATGGCAGCTAGGACTCTGGGATTCAGGGCTTAAAAACAATATGTTTCAAGTCATTAAACATGAGTTTTTTTTATTTAGCAGATCATAAATCAACCAACTGAGACCAGTAAAAAATATAAAACCGATATATATATAAGAGATATAAAACCGGAGTCTTTTTAGGACTCCGTATCCCTGACTATGCAAATGTTTTTGTATGTCAAGATAATAAAATTTCGATGACAAGACGCAGCTAAAGAGCTTCATCTTAACATCAAAAAAATCACAAGAGGCTTGCAAGCTGCAGGTTGTACCCCTTGTTAATCTAAATAATCTCTATTAATTTGAAATATGATTATAATTTAAATGTGTAAACATTTTTGTGAACCCTTTAATCTTTTTTTCTTAAGAGTAATTCTTAGTATTTTCAAACTGGAGTTATGTCTATAAGTTAAAAGTTTAAATTTTTTTTCTATACCTTTTACTTTAATTCGCTATTTGTTCAGAGCAAAAACTGCGTTGTTAGCATTTGTAAATTTAAATTACAAATGCTTATATTATATTCATTTGAATATATTATATTCATTTGAAATATGTTCATATTAATTTGAATATATATTTTTTTCTAAACATTTTACTTTTAAACACTGTTTTGTTTTGTTTTTTTCTAAACATTTTACTTTTAAACTTTGTTTAAACTTTTAAATTTTGTTTCAGTTCTAAAGTAGTCAATTTAAAACTTTTTTTTTTCCATCTTTGTTTTTGTTTTTTTGGTGGCGGTGGGGGAGGGGGTTGTTATCAAATGTTGACGTAATTTTATAAAGGGGTTACTGAAAGTTTGACAAGTTGTTGACAAGGGAGAGGGAGGAAGGTAAAAATTGCCAAAAAATTGTTAACCTAATTAATGGACAGCCCTTATAAACTGTAAGTAAAAAAATCACATTTATTGTCTCATCTCTTTATTTTCTCATTATTCTCTACCTACTAATTTAATATTTGTATATTTATTTATCTCTGGCTAATCATTGTTTAATTACTCTAAGTCTGTTTTGTGTGATAGCTATTGTCTCTCCTTATCAGGCAAGATTTATATGAAAACATACTATTGGAGTTACCACATTTTCTATCCTGTTTTCAACTAACTACTTTCGTACAAACCACAAAACATCTTAACTTCGTATCAATGTTTATTTACTTATTATATTTATAAGACATATTTCAGTTATAAAAGAAACGGTAAGTTAATCTTAATTTATTATTTTTTATTCGCTTTGTGTTATTTCTGCACATTAAAATTGTTTATTTTAATACATGCGCATATGTGCATGTGTACAAGTTTGTCTCTTCTAAAGTTAGTGTACATTATATTTATGTGCTTACATATTTGTTTATGGTCACACCATGTGCATCTCTCACCAACCTGACGAGATCTCTAAGATTGTTGGAGCTGTATTAAAAATTGGGATAGGGATTGGATTATTTGGATTATGTAGTGTAGTTTTATTATATTGCAATATTGACTAGCATGAGGTAGAGTGCAGGCGGTGAGATCTGTTGCAAAGACACGCCTCTAACAAGTGTCATTTAATTCTCAATTTATTATCTAGAATTTAGACCATATATAGTACCATTAATAAACCAGTGGTTTATTAATGAATACCATTAACGAACCAGCAGATTTGTATTGACTTGTTTACTTATATCATTGTTTTATCATTTGCTAAAAATAATTAGAGTGTGAGTACTTAGATCATTGTTTTATCATTTGCTAAAGATGATTAGAGTGTGAGTTATGGTTCCTCTCTTTTTAAGTCTGTAACTTATACTCCTCCTACTAAATAATCTTTACATTAATTTATGTTTTTTTACCTAAATGAAATCATCTACAATCTGTTTTTATTTTTACATCTCCCAGGTCTACAAAACTGGACGGATCCGTTGGTCACTTTTTGCTATCTTTTTGTCGCATAAACATAAAAAGATTGTGTAGAAAGTTTTTTTATACTTAAGCTTTTAAATACTTTAGTGAGTCAAAACTAAAAATTTAAAAAGGCTTTTTGAACTTTTTTGCATAGATATTTGTATTTTTGTTTATCTAATTTTATATTATAATTTTTATCATTTTTATGTGTAAATTTTAAATAGATTTAGAGTGATTTAAAATTACATTAAATATGATATTTAAGGCTTTAAAACATTGTCAGCCTTAAGTAAAAAAACTTATTTAAATTGATAGCTGTTAAATTAGAAAGTTGTTGATAGCTTGATAGCTTTTAAATGAGAAATTTGATTGGCTTATTGATTACAGTCGAATGAGAGCAACAGAATGTAAAAATAACTTTAGTTGCAATATGCTAATTTAGAATTTAAAAAATTAATTTAAAAAAGTGAAAAAAAAAGCATTTAAAGGGCAGAGTGAGATTCACCACACAAAGGGAATAAGTAAATTTAATTAGCACATTTAAATATATAGTATACTAATAATTAAAATAAAAAAATATAAATTTAAATACAAAAAATAATTTTTATTTTTTTAAATTTACAAATACAAAATTTTTGTAAATTTTGTATTTGTAAAATTTAAAATAAAATTATTTTTTTATTTTTTGTTTGTTCTGATTCACTCCCAACAAGGCTGCAAGCAACCACTATTTAGTTAGGAGTTAATAGAAAAAAAGAATAGAGTTATAGAATAAGGAAAAGGTTAACAGACTTAAGACTTAAAAAGTTGCAGTTTGTATGAGTCAGGAAAACATGAAAATGGAAGAGAGTTCTAAAGGGTTGACGTGTAGGGAAAAAATGAATAAAAGTTTTTATATTATAGACAAATAAAAAAGCATCATTAGAAGAGCCCAAAAATGAAAACAGTATTCCATACAGGGACAAGTAAGAGATTTGTAGAGGTTGAGAATGGAATCAGGAGAGAGAAAATGGTGAGCACGATAAAGAGAGGCAACCTTAGCAGAGGCAAATTTAGTAATCGATTGAATATATGGTTTCCATGAAAAGTCAGTAGTAAACGATAATCCAAGAAGACATAAAGAAGAAGACTCGGTTAGAGGGTTGCCATTCATTAAAATAGGAATGTTGACAGTATTGCAATAGTTATTTTTTAAATTTAACTTTTACATTTGTAAATAAAATAAAAAAATATAATAAGAATGTATATAAACTTATTATATAACATAAATGAGATATTTCATTGCAAGTTTCATTTTTGGTTTTTTTTGTTATAGTTATTTTTAGTTTACTTTACCAGCAAATTTAGTTTACCAAAAGTATTTTTAATTCTTTTAACATTAAAAATTTGATAATTTTTTTCAAAGTTTATTATTTATTAACTATTTATTAATATGCAAAGATTTTTTTAAACTTTTTTAACTTAAGATAAATAGTAAAAATGTAAATAAAGAGTTTTTAAATAATAAGAAAAAATTAAAACAATAATTTATTAAACATTGAAAAATCTATTTTGTAGAGATTTGCTAATAATAATAAAGATAAAATTTTATTTATTTATTATTTTTTTAAATAAAAATAAAGTTTTTTTAAGTTTTGGATAAATGGTCTTGCTTGTAAATGACATTAAATCACATTAAACAAAATCTGTCAACGTAAAGTATTAATTGTCAACGTAAACGTATTAATTGCGTTTTCTACTTATCTAGCATAACACTTTAAATCTGAACCTAATAGAGTTTTTATTTTTTATTTTACTAAGATCTTTTGAATTTTTGGGAATTTCAAGCAATTGGGAGTTCTGAATTTATATGTGGTGCCATCAGGCTGGCTAACACCCTGACATGTAATAAATTACAGTTGTTTAAATTGGAAATTGTTAAAAAGTTCATGCAACTTAGTTAAGGAATAGGATATTTTTGTTAATTTTATCCAAAAGTTTGAAACTTATGTTTTGTTTAAAATAAAGGTATACAATATTTCTTTAAAAAAACACTCTTCATTTTATGGAAAATTGCAATTTTTGTTTTTTTGCAATATATGATTGCTATACTTTTAGAGTATACAAATCTTGTAATATTAATGGTCAACCAGGAAACATTTGTAGACTATTTAAAAAAAATTTAATTTTACTATACATTAGGCGTGTAGAGGGCAGGGCAAGGGGGGGTCAGATTATATTATGCTTACAATTTTTAAACTTGACTTTTAATTTTTTTTAGATGATAGATATAGCAATTATATTGAATCATAAATTTTCTATATATTTTTTTTATAATGTGAGAGTATTTCATTTGAAATACAAGATTACTTTGTTTATAATAAGAAAGTATTTAATTAGTAATGCGAGATTTCCTTTATGATGAGAGAGTATTTCATATATAAAAATGCAAAGAGACTTCATATGATTTTTTAGTTGACTTTTTTTAAGTTTAATTTTTATTTTTTTATATTAGTTAATTGCTTTTAGTAACTTTTCAAAATTGAGTAATTATTAATTATATATTTCGTTTTTGTTTTGTTAATATCGTTTTTTTAATTGGTTTACTCTTTAAACATTTTTTAATGATTTTTTTTTGTTTTAATATTTTGAAATTGCTTTCATGCAGTTTTTATTTTATACATGTAATTTAAATAATTAAACGTTATTCATAAAAAAATCATTTTTTTCTTCTGTTAGATACGTTTTTATTTCCTATATATATATGCTAAAAATGTAAAATAATGAAAAAAGATACCACTGTTTTTTTATACAATTATTTTTGATTCCTTTTTTTTAGAAAATGAAAACATAAGTTTTGTGGGATCGTATTTAGACGAAACAGAAATAAACAAAAAATTAAATGATATGAAAAAAAATGATGAAGTTTTATCTAAAAAAAAAAATGAACTATCAACTGCAAACAATTACAAAAATGAGTTAAACCAAAATATGAACATTAGATACAGTGAACCAAATCCTGAAAACATGTATTATTCTATTGAAGATGATTTTCTCAGGCCCTATGAAGCTATTCCTCGTAATGTTTTTCCAGAAAGTCACAATATACATGAGGTATCAAAAGAAAGGTTCGATGCTGATTTGAATTATGATGATATGTATTTTGATGAACATAATCAACAAAATAAAGGTACACTTTAATAGTTAAATATTTAATAGGTTTTTTAGTATTTACTTCATTTCAATCAAAGTTTATTTAAACCAAATAAGCTCTATTATTATCAACAACATTTTTCCATTTTCTGGTAGAATTACATTGCCAACATTGGAAAACCTTTTTTCTTTTTTCTTTTTCTGGTTTCTGGTTCAGAAACTTAATTTCTTCTGAATTTTTTTCTTTCTGAACTTTTCAGTATTATTCCTAGGAGTCTATAGATAGTTTTCGGATGATGTCACGGCATAATTAAAGCTCAAGCTGCGCCATGTTGTAGGTCAAAAAAAGTAATCAAAATAAGCGTTTACTTCCAAACTTTTTGGTAATGTGTGGTTTTATAGAAATTAAAGTTAGAAAGTTTATTATTTTGATCAAATTTATGTAGAAATTATTTCTATATATGATTATATAAGCAATTTATTTGTGTTTGAACTAATATTAAATATCTTGTTTTCTAAAAACTTTTAAACAAGGTTTAACTAATTAGTTAGAGTTTAAGTCTAGTTAAGGTTTACTTAGCTAGGCAAACCTTAGCAACTAAGATTTACTTAGTTAATGACCTGAACTAAGTCAAAACGAAGTCAAATCAAATAAGATATTTGATTTGATTTCGTTTTGAATTTGCTTATTTTTTTGTTTTTAATTTGCTGAATTGTGAATTTGCATAACGCACACACAGTGAACGTGTTCATGTCCTTTAAACATGCTAAATAAATTATTAAAATGTGTTATTTTATTAATATTCTATCTATATAAAGAATATGATGATTTACTTATTAAATTGCTCTAGTATCCTGAAACCTACAACTATATAATAATATTAATATTGCCATTTGTATATATTATATACTAATAACAATATTAGTACTATTAACATAGTTATTAATTTTTACATACTAAAGCAAATTTAATACGTAAATAATATATTTAGTAACAACAAAAACTTTAGTAAAAGAATCATTTTAGAGGCAATCAATGCTTGTGTAAAAATCCTAAATAATTTGTAGAAGATCTAAACGATTATATTGTTACTTTAAACTGCTAATTGTTAAAAAGTTATGTTAAGCTTTAGCTGACATGTACAGAATGTTTTTCATAAAATATATCTTTTTCTGACAGCTTATCATCTATCGTGAATATATGCAAGTGCTACATGAATTGTAGCACTTGCATATATTCACGATAGATGATAAGTTGAATGTCATAAGTTAAATGCTGCTTACTAAATTAAAAAAAACATGGTTAAATGAAAATTTATTTGAATGGAAATGTGACCTCTTAGCAGTAATAAATTGTATTCTAAGTATTGCAAATTGTATACGATTTTGAAATGCAGATACAAATATTACTTAACACAAATGGAGCAAAATATGTTTTTTTATCTTTTTCTTCCTTTGCAAAATTAACCATGCTATATCATCAGTATTTGCACTACCATTGCAATCTATTAAAAGATCGATTTCACATTATGGGTTAGTTAGCAATGTTTACATTACACTGTTTACATAGATTTTTAATTTTACCACATGGATCAGTTACTGAAGTTATAGCATGGCCAATTTTTGCTGCTTGTATTAAATTTGATAATGCAAATGAAAGCATTTTTGATTTTTAAACTGCTGGATCTTAATAATGTTTTTTTAGTTGCAAGGTTATAAAAGGGGTTCTGAGCATTTCTCAAAAAGGTAGTTCAAGCAAAGTCAGACAGTTTAAAAAACACTGAAAAACCTAAAAGTCAGAACTAGGTAGTTCTTCCATTCGAATTATTTTTAGGATAATTTTGAGTCTTTTGACATTTTATGTTTATGTTATCATTTTAGCATTTTTTTAAGGCAAGGTTTATTAAATAATTATTGCTTTTAGGATTTGTTATCATTTTTAAACTTTTTATGGCTTTGCTTGAGCTTCCCTTTTGTTAAATGTTCAGAACCGCCGAATTGATAACATCTTAACTGATCAACACTCACAAATCATTACGCCCTAGTTGTTTACATACATTAAAAATACTTTTAGACGCATCATTTATTTCCATGAAAGCAGAAAAACTGCACATACCAAAGAGCGTCTAACTTCAGTGGTACACTATTGAATTATACATAAGGCTCACTACTAAAAACCTTATAAAAAGTTAAAAACCTCTGAGAAACTCATTGTAAATTAAATTATGAATCGAAATGGATGATAAAAACATCTGCTTCATAGATCCTGAACATTTAGCGTGGGTAATGTTGAAAAGATGCACGCTCCGAAAAATCTTAAAATATGCTAATACAACAATATTTTCCAATATAAAAACTTTCTATCCTTGCGGTTTTGCTTGTTAGCCATAATTAACAATGATTAACTTATAATAACAACTTTTATAATATGCATACTACAAAGACATATGTCTATGTAAATACTAAAGATTTAAAATAAAGATAAAAAGCAATTTATAAGATGAATCGCCATATTATTTAATTCATACTATAATAGTTTGAATTAAATAATATGGTGATTCACCTTATAAATATATATATATATATATATATATATATATATATATATATATATATATATATATATATATATATATATATATATATATATATATATATATATATATATATATATATATATATATATATATATATATATATATATATATATATATATATATGATACATTAGCTAGTACTTTAGAACAACTGGTTTTATAGAGTTTTAACTTAAAAGCAGTTAAATTAAGTATATTATAGATAGAGAATTATATTCTACATAAATTTGACAAAAAAGTTAAACTTAAGATATGCGGTTACTAAATATTTTATAATAATAAACGCTCAGTTTGTTTACTTTTTTTGCCATACAGTATGGCGGCCGCAAACTTTTAGCATCACATGATTGAAAACTATCTATTAGTATTAAATTTCTTTCATAAAACAGGTGTTTGTTTTATTGATTTTCTGATAAATTTGAACTATAAGGATTCTCCCACTGTATAGTTCAGACATACAATATTTGAAAGTGAATAGAACAATTTAAAGTTAAAAATTACAAGTTGTGTAAATTGTTTAGAAAGGTTAATTGCTATGCACAGGTCTACATTAATGCACGAAAAGTGTACATTAGTACACAGCAATCTACATTAGTACGCATAAGACTTCATTAGTACACAACAAGTCTACATTAGTACACAGAGAGGGAGTCTTTAACATAAAGTGTACACAACAACTCTACATTAGGACTATAACACATTAAGTTCATCAGAATTTTTTTATAATAATTTTTTAAACTTTTTTATGTTAAGTAACAAATTCAAAGTAAAAGTTTTGTCAAATTAAAAATTTAAAAAGAATTGAATTTAGCGATAACTAAAAAAAAATTAATTTTTTAAGAATTATTTAGAATTTTTTACATACAAACAATTAGCTAATCAATTAGTAATATTTGTTTAAAAAAGTTTAAAAAAGACACATTTAAAACATATTTTTAAATTTATGACTAAATCTGTTGACTACCATATTTTTTATGATAGTCAACAGATTAGCACTATATGTTTAGTAATAGTCTCATGATATACAGCTTTTTTTATACTAAAAAAATAATGGTTTTTTATGCAGCACTCTAGACATGGTCCCAGAGCTTTAAAATTTGTGTGGAAAAACATACTTCTAATCTAACACTTTTCGTTTTAACTTTATAACTGTGAAACCTTTTTTTAGAGCTTAATAAACAACCTTTAAATTCTTCTCTGCAAGAAAATGATTTGGTAGTATTTCAAGTTTCTGGAAATGTTTACAATGGGATACTTAGATGGAAAGGTTTTGTACCACAAGTAAGCCATGAACTTGCTGGTATAGAGCTTGTATGTATTTATTTAATTTTAAATTATTATATTTATTTAAGTTATTATATTTATTATCTTTATATATTTAGAGTCAAAATTTCTTATTATTTTTTTATCTTAACTTAAAGGATGATTTAAATCCATACCTTGTTACTACAAATGGCACATTTAATGGTAGACAATTGTTTAAATGTTCTAATGGCAAAGCATATTTTGTTAAACTAAGCAGTTGTAAACCAGATTCACGGTTTCAAGGGTCAGCACAACAGAGTAAAAGTATGAATTATGTAAACAGTAAAATATATCATTTAAAGATAATTAATTTAGTCTTGAAATAAATTTATTTGTGTATATGTGTGTATATTTCTTTTGTAATTGTTTACTGCTTAATTTGTTTATTATAACTGTGATAAAATAAGACTACCACAAGAGTAGTTGATTAACTAAACTTTTTTCCTCACAATTATGAAAAAGTTGAAAATAAATTTTTACTTAAAACTATAAGTAAGCAACCTGTAATACCTGTAATACGGGTATTAAGTTATTAATAATTTAACTTGTAAATTACCTAATTTATCCTAATAAATTACCTTTACCTAATAAATTACCTAAAATCAAGTTTATAAATAATTCTTTTAGTTCTGCTCCCTTTTAGTAACAACATAAAAAGATAAAGAGATAAAAAGATATCTGTTAAGTTTTTAAATCAATTAGAACAGCACCAGAGAAAAAAAGCCAAGTACAGTTCTGCTAATACCTAAAAGAAATAAAAAAAGTGTATAATTTTTAATTAAATATGTATAACTTAACACCTTATTTAAAAACTTTGGCATATAAAATTCGCCGAATGGTCACACACGAGCAGTGAACACCTGAGGGAAGAAATGAAGTACATTAGAATAAAGGAGAATTATTTATTAGACAAAGCATATTTTGACAGTTGTCAAGACAAAAATAAAGATTAATAGAGGAATATTTAAAAATAAATAAGACAAGCTATACAACCAAAACAGTACTCAACCATAATAACAATAAAAAAATAATAATAATAAAAATAAATAAATAAAATAAAAATAATAATAAAATATATATATATATATATATATATATATATATATATATATATATATATATATATATATATATATATATATATATATATATATATATATATATAAATAAAAAATTAAAAATAAAAAAAAATTGTTTTATAATTACCAATTGTAAAACAAAAAACTATTCAACAAATTAAAAATATGCTAACGACAATGAAAGGACTAATAATGGAAAAAAAACATTAATGCTAATGTGTAAACATAATTAGTGTAGTGATAAGTAATAAACATCTCCTCTGAGTCGCGTCTATTATTACTGGCGTTTCGATGAGGATCAGCATTTATAACTAGTTTATCCCGTCAGACAAACGTCATTGCCACTTATGCTTTACCCCGCGACTTACGCCTATTCCATACTGCAGTAAAAAAGGACTTTAACTTGTAAATTACCTAATTTATCCTAATAAATTACCTTTACCTAATAAATTACCTAAAATCAACTTTATAAATAATTCTTTTAGTTCTGCTCCCTTTTAGTTTTAGTTTTAAATCAATTTTAGTAATTATAATTAACTTATTTAAAAGTTTTAAAAATTTTAAAACCAAAAAATTGTCCGTACATTTGATTCAAAACGTAAAATTTTGTTTATAAATAATTTTTTTTAACATCTTGTACTTTTAGGTTAAATAATACTATAATAAATAAAAATAAACCTTTTCTTTACTACGTTTACTTTACTTACTACTTCAACAACATAAAAAGACTACATAATATCTGTTAAGTTTTTAAATCAATTAGAACAGCACCAGAGAAAAAAAGCCAAGTACAGTTCTGCTAATACCTAAAAGAAATAAAGTGTATAATTTTTAATTAAATACTTAAAATTGCTTGTAGACTTAAAATAAAAATATAAAAGTAAAATATAATAAAGAATAATAAAAAGGAACTATTCTAACAGTTCTATAGACACATCTCAACAATAGCACATAGCACAAGATATTTGCAAGTACACAATACTTTTTTCTAAATACTAACAGACATTATTATGTGTTTCTAGAATAATAAAAGGCAAGACCTAGTTTCATTGCTTTTTACTAAATGCTGCCAAATAACACCAAAACCTAGTAAGTTATTTTATTTATTAAAATATTTGAACTGAAGAGATTTTATTAATTACAATATTTGAATAATCAAGGGTAGTTAAAAAATTTAAATAATGTTATCATAAAATCAACTTTTTTAATATTTACTCGTAAATATTACTTATACATTACAAAAAATAATAATAATAAGAAATACATAATAGCTTAGTAAATACATAGAAGGTTCTATTTATGTTACCTTAATTAATAAATCCTCTTTTAACAGAGAGGCATACATCATTTCGGAGATACTGTGTTAAAATAAAAAGAGATTAAAAGAACATGCAACAAATAGTTATGAACATAAGAAAAGTTAAATGTTAATGACAAAAATAACATTATTAGCACAAAATAGCTATAATAATAAACCATAACAATTAACACAATTAACCATAAAAACTGGTTTTATAATATCACCAGTAAAATCGTTTTTACCTTAATTATGTTTAATATAGTAAAGATCACATAAAATAAATTTAATAAATTAAAACCATATTTCAATAGTAGCCTTGGGGCTTAAATCCATATTTATACTTAAAACCATATAGTAGCCTTGGGGCTTAAAACCATATTTCAATAGTAGCTTGGGGCTCTTGGTTGAGTAAAGGCTAGAGATGGTGTCTCGATTAGAATACTCATCTTGGGCAGATGTTAAATGCATCCGGATGCTGTCTTGTAGAAGGCCTCCTAGGCAAAGACTTAAGGGGTAAATAGATTATATCTGTTGACCAGCCTCGCACCCCTTCTTCATCTATTAGGCTGGCGCAGATGTATTTTTAATACATTGTTTCCAGTTAAGGATGTTGAACGCTGGATCTTCTTGACTCAGTTCATGGGTTTTGCTTTTGTCTCTGTTTTTATGACTAGGCAACTCATTCTATTATCTCCAAATGAGGGTACAGCTCTAAAACTCAGTTTTATGGTTCTGAGGCCGGCTGGTAGTCAGGTTTCCTGAACTCTGTGATAGCTCTCAGAGAGACTGATTCCATCAACAGCTGAAAAATATCAGAGTACTAACAGTGCCATGTTGTGCATGGATGGTGTCCCTGTTTGTACTTTTGGTGTGCATTGCCAAGGCCACATTGGAGCCCTTTATTACGCCTTAGGGTTTATTAGTGGAAATGAGGCAATTGCTTGGGCTATAAGACAGTGTACTGAGTACTATCTATGTTTCGAGTCAAGTTCTTTAACAAATTTAAAAATGAATAAAGTAACAAAAACTATAAAATACAAAAAACCACAGTCACCACCAAGTTCGCTAAATCTATCATTCACCAATATTCGTGGTCTTCGAAGTAACTTTTCTTCTGTTGAGTCTTATCTTTTGGAAAGTTCACAAGACCTATTTGCTCTTTGTGAGATTAATTTGAGTTCAGCTGTCTCATGTTGTGATCTTAGTGTTGATGGTTATCTTCCTTTAATTCGTAAAGACTCCAATAGTCACATGCTTGGCCTAGGCATTTACATTCGTAAGAATTCACCCATTTGTCGGGAAACTAAGTTTGAATCTACAGACTACGCTTTTATGTGTTTTTGTTTAGCACCACTTCACTCTATCACCTTTCTCTTTGTTCTATATCGCTCTCCCTCATCTCAAGACTGCACTCTTCTTGATGTTATTTCTGATTATATTGACCAAGCCCTCATTCTTTATCCATCAGCCAATATTGTTGTTGTCGGTGACTTTAATGTTCTTCACACCTAATGGCTTGGCTCTAGTGTCAGTGACTCTGCAGGTATTAAGGCCCACAACTTTTTTCTTTCTCAATCCCTAACTCAAATAGTCAACTTTCCAACTTGCTTTCCAGACAACCCGAATCATTTACCTTCTCTACTCGACTTATGTCTTGTTTCTGATCCTAGTCAGTGCTCAGTTTCTTTACACTCACCCTTAGGTGCTTCTGATCATGGTTTGGTCTCTCTAAAACTATTATCTCATTCTTCTTTACCATTAGAATCCCCCTATCATCATACATCTTACAACTACCTTAAAGCTGACTACGACTCTTTCCGTGATTTTCTTTGTGATGGCCCCTGGGTAGAAATCTTTCGTCTCCCTGTTGACAAATGTGCTTCTTACATAACTTTGTGGATTCAGGCTGGCATGGAATCCTTTATTCCCTCTCGACGATTCCAGGTCAAGCCTCTTTCTTCTTCATGGTTTTCCTCACATTATGCTGCTGCAATTGCCAATCGAAACCATTACTTACATATCTATCAGCAAAACAATTCTCCAGAAAACAGACGTCTGTTTATTACTGCTAGGAACCATTGTAAAAAGGTTTTGTCTAACGCCAAAGCCCCCTATTCTCAGATCATGAAATCTCGTATTTCATCACAAAAATTAGGCTCTCGTGACTTTTGGAGAATCTTTAATAGTATCAATAATAAGGGCAAGTCTGTAATTCCACCTCTTTTGTATGGTTCAGATTTTGTCACCTCACCTAAAGACAAAGCTGAATTGTTTGCCAAGAACTTTTCATCAATATCATCTCTTGATGCCACTAGTTGCGTTCTACCTGATATGGCCGTCAAACAGGTTGATCCATTGCTCGACATTCGTATCACTCCAGCTTCTGTATCTAAAGTGATTTCCCGCTTAGACTCTTCTACAGTTTGCGGCCCGGACAACATACCTGTTATAGTCTTGCAGAAGTGTTCTTTGAACTTTAATTCAGATAAAACTTAATTTTTTTCGGCTAATCGTTATTGCAATAGTTTAGACCTTCTTATATTTATGAACGGTAATGTACTCGATGAGTCTCCTACCCTTCATCTTCTAGGATTAACTCTTACTTCTGATCTTTCTTGGAAACCTTATATCAAATCCGTTGCAAAATTAGCATCTGCTAAAGTTGCTTCTCTTTATCAAGCTCGTCACTTTCTTACTCTGGATTCTATTTTCTATCTCTATAAATCTCAAATCCGGCCTTGTATGGAATACTGTTGCCATATCTGGGGCGGATCTTCTAATGATGTCCTTTCTCTTTTAGACAAGGTGCAAAAATGCATTGTAAACATAGTTGGACCTGCTCTTGCAGCCAACCTTCAACCTCTGTCACATCGTCGTAATGTTGC